TGGTACAACCTTAAAACTCGCAATTATTTAATCCGACTGATTTTCTAAAAGTTTTTTGTTTTGTCGATTTTCCATTTCAAATTAAAAGTTCGTTACAAAGCCATTGCAGTTCTGTCATGTTTTTTTATTTTGTCTAAATCTTTATGTGATTGTCGGAAAAATAAACCATTCTCTGGTTGTTTTTATAAAGTTATCCACAGTTGCCATGACAACAATGTATATAAGTAAGTCGGTTTTGTAAATAGGAAGGTAGGTACGTAGGTAGGTAGGTAGTTTGTGGCACCAATGTAATGTGCATAATAATGTAATTTGTTTAAATTTGTTGTGCGTAGAAAGAAGAGGACGAAGGACTAGCAGGTTACACGTGTTGTTGGCTGGCTGGCCTGTTCATACACATGTCCATTGGAAGCGAGAGCAGTAACAGCAACAACAAAAAAAGAACGAAACACACAATCTCACACCTAAATCAACAAAGAAATTGTGTAAACTTCTGACCTGCCTTACCGCTGCTGCTGCTGTTTTGTTTGCCCTCAGTGGGTGAGATGTCCTTTTTGAGGTCTCTTATTCCGTACGACCAACCTGAAAGACTCGTGATAAACATTTGTTGAAAAAAGTATGGCAAAACAATGAAGTAGAAATGCAATTAAGGAAACAAAAGAACGGAAAGGAAATTGTTTTGTTTTTTTTTTTTTCAGTTATTTTGTTCCGTTAAATTAAAGCAGACCTTTAAAATGAGAGACAATAACACTGGGAGGAATTTAATTAGGAACACGTAAATTATGAGGTGTTTATTTGAAAAGAAACTTATTTGTGAAATTTATAATATTACATTATTTGGTTAAACGAGGTCACTACTAGCAAGTAAAAAATCAGTAAGTTTTGGAACACATTTGGTAATTTTCAAAAACATAAAATCCGTTAAAAATGTTGTTAAAATCTTAAAAATACCGAATGTAGCCGTTATATTGGGGTCTGTACGAAGACATGGAAATGCATAGGTAACTTTTGTCATAAGGCATTACAATATTCAAATATGAAACTTGAAAAGTCCGATGAATAATGTAGCTAAAATCATCAAAGACCTGCATAGACAATTTTCTGTCACAGGCTGTAGTACTACCTATTGGGAACTTCAAACACGAAATTTCAAACAATTTCGGTGAATATTGTACCTAAATTCGTCAAAATACCGAATATAGGGAGGTACTAATATATGGGGCCTATACGAAGACCTGCACCTGCATATACTATTTTCTGTCATGAAACAATTTCGGTGAATAATGTCGCTAAAATCATCAAAATATCGAATATTGGGAGGTACCGGTACCCTGAACGTGCATACACAATCTTTTGTCATAGGTTGTCGTCCCCATTACGAAATACGAAATTTGAAACAATTCCGGTTAATAATGTCCCTAAAATCGTCAAATATTGAATATCGGGGGTACCGTTGTATGTGGGCTCTACGATATCGTGGACCTAGGCAGTTCCATTGGAAAATGTAGCTAAAATCCTCAAAATATGGAATATAGGGAGATACTATTATATGGAGGATTTTTGTGGATTTTCAGGCAATTTCATTGATAAATTTGGCTACCAGCATCAAAATACCGAATCGGGGTATCGTTATAGGATATCGTAGACCGGTATAGCCCATCTTCGAACTTGACCTGCCTGCACACAAAGACGGATCTCTGCAAAATTTAAGCTTCTTATATTAATTCGGTTTGACTCTAGCATGATTTCAACAGACGGAGGACGGACAGAGCTAAATCGTTTTAGAATTTTAAGCTGATCACGAATATATATACTTTGTTGGGTCTAAAATTGTTATTTCGATGATTTTTAATTGGAATGACGAACTTAATATACCTTCCATACTATCTATGGTGGAGGTTTTAAAAAGTGGCATCTAGGTATCGCCAACTTAGAGTAGCTGACCTCTAAGCACTCTTTTAAGAACGATTTAACTCTGTTCGTCTTCCGTGAAACTAGTGACCGGAAAGTGTTTCTACTTTCGAGTAACTGTTTTCCGAAGCCCAAATATTTTAGTTGCCTCTCTAAATATCTTTATAAAAGAGTAGTAGCACCCAGATATCACTTCCAGATTTCATTAACTTTTACGTAAGGCACCCCAGATGACAGTTATATACTGTGGCTAGCCTCAAAGATCATTACTTTAAAATAACAACTTCTAGATGTCGCCATTTAAGAGTATATGACATAAAAGACAGTTCTTCGAAACAGCGACCTCTAAATTCCGCTACTTTTGAGCAGTAGATATAATCTACTGTTATTACAGAGATTTGCCCCTAGTTGATTTTAATATGAAGTAGCTGAACTCAGAGGCCAAGGCTATTGAGATTACAATTTTAAGTATTGTCGTCTCATTCTAAAAGTACTGACGTCTAAATGACTTTAGAAGATCACTGTAGATGCCGCTACGGTTGAGTAATTGGTCTCAGATGTCATTACCTAATAGTAGAGACATTCAGATGCGAGTTTTCCAGGGATGTGTGGTCTAGATGTCGCAATTATTGAGTACATGAACTCAGAGACCTCGATTATAGAACTTCTCAGTGTTAACTACTTCAATAGATGGCACTATTTAGAATAGAGGTCTAGATCTGGTTTCTGATGACACTAGTTGTTGTTGTAGCAGTAGTACATGCAGAGGTTTGGATTCTGCTAATCCGGTTCGAGCTCCAGGTTTAAAAATGCGGCTACCTCAATTGGCTGTAACCAGAGATCTTATGCAGCGAGTTGGGTAGGCTGTATCACACGCCGGGCAGACGTCACGCATATGTTCGTCAATTCGTGCCCAATACGAATTGATATGACTGCACCATCCTGAACGTAATTGCGTCAAAACTTCCCTGGTTTGTCTATGCAGCTAACGTTCTTCAGCTGACCAGGTCGGAATTTATCCTGTAAATGCTGAGGACACCTACGACTGCATCAGTATGAATGCCTCTTAGACCTGCCTGATAGGCTTCTTTATCTAGAGGATCTCTCTTATAGCGTCGGACCTCCCTCTCTAGATCATGTATGTTATTCCTGACCCGCTTGGTTGGGGGAGTTGCATCCAGCATATGGTGTTTGGGATGACTCCCTCGGTAACACCCCAATAGGCACGGCAACGAAAGCATATGATTAGGCTGAAGTAAGGGAAGGACTTTCGCCTTCTCATATAGATGCTCCACTGGTGTCATGAGGAGACAATGACACTAGTTGAAAGATGTGACGTCTCAGTGGCTCCAGTTTAGAGTAGTGAACTCTAGATGACACTAATGTAAAGTGGCTAGACCCAGAGGACATAAATGGCCACTAACTTAGAGTAGCACTATTAAAGATTACTTTGCCTCAGCAACTATTAATTTAGATTAGTGACTCCTAGATGTCACTAGAATGGAGTAATGACCCCCAGGGTGGGGCTATTGTAAAATTGGAGACTCTCTATGCAATTACTACCGAGAATCCGGGAGAGAATCCCAAAGGCCACCATTGTACAGTGATGATGTCACTACTTTAGATGAGTGACTTCCAGACGATACTGATTAAGAGTAGCCAGCTTCAAATGTCACTACTATCAAGCAGTTGGCTCTACATGTCAATGCTATAAGTGTTCTGAGTTTTTGGGTCACTACTTTAGGGTAGTGACCTCTAGATATCATAACTTTAGAGTATCCACTCTTGTGAACCGCTACTTTTAAACAGTGATCTCCAGATGTTACAACAATGGAGGGGTGTTAGAGTGTCTAGACTTGCAGGTAACTACATTAGAGCAGTGACCAATAGATGACATTTCGTTACAGTACATAGAGCCTCGGAAGTATTTTCCCCATCCAGCAAGAATGTAAAAAGTTCGGTGCGATGACCGAAGTTTCCCTTACGTTATCGAAAAAAAATTGTAAAACTTGTCGATTCTTGCAGGTTGTAGAACAGAACATATTTATGTATTTATCTTTAAAGACAGATGTCGCTTCTTTAAAGTAGTACAGCTGGAGTTTACAAGTTCTAAAGAAGTATTAAACAAGTTAAAAAGCAGTAAGCTCGACCGGACCGAAATTTGAATACCCTCCACCAATTGGAACGAATTTGAAAATTTTCAAAAAATAAAATCCTTCAAAAATTCTGTTAAAATTTTAAAAATACCGAATATAGCCGTTATATTGGGGTCTATACGACGTGGACCTACATAGGCATTGTTTGTCATAAGCCATATTCAAATTCGAAATGGAACGGTGAATTATGTTGCTAAAATCATCAAAATATCGCATATAGGGAGGTACCGCTATATCGGAGCTGTGCGAAGACCTGGATCAGCATAGGCGAATATAGGGAGGTACTGATATATGGGGCCTATACGAACACCTGGTCCTGCATAGACAATTTTCTGTCATATGCTGTAGTATCCATTACGAACTCTAAATACGTAATACCCTCCATAGTATGATGGAGGGTATAAAAAGTAACTTTCTTGATGGTAGTAGTGTCCCTATTTTAATTACCCCCACTGTAATACACCAAAAAAATTAGAATATTTTTCATTGCCCGGTAAATTAGCTGTAAAACTGTTTAAGGGCCAGCAAACACGTCAAAATGGATACAATGAGAGGCCAAGAGGCTACTTGTCAACCTTGAAAGTGATAGCTAAGCCTAAGGACAACAATACGCACACAAAAAACGGACATACACACACATATTCACTCACTAGTACATACAATGGTGGTTCCCCTTCTAAAGAGGCAGAAGACAATGGCAAGACCTACGACGACGATGATGATGATGATGGAACGGATAAAAGTGGTCTTTAGGCCCAAAACAACATACAAATAATTGCCAGGACATGAAAAGGACACACAAAAAAAACCACAACAGCATCAAAAAAAAAAAAATGACAGGACAAAACTTCAATCTAGGACAAAACTAAAAATTTTGCAGAACAACAACAAAACGAAGAAGAAAAATCTCTGAATAAAAATGTTCGAATAGCAAACCTTTTTTATAGCCATTCAATGAATGACAGATTGACTTGATTGACAATGAAAACATGTTTCGAACTTGTGATACGGTTGTGGCGTCATACAGCACTCGCTACTGAATAATGGCCGAGGTGATGACACCATAAGTCACCTGATCCAATATACCCCAAAAAGAACACAAACAGGCACACACGAACACCTCAAATGGATGACAGTAGTTTTTTGTGGGATGTGATGACTTCCAGGAATAAAGCTGCCAATATCAGTTGACTTATAGGCGTAACGTCAAACCAGCAGAGAATATATGTATGTACATATGGTTAAGGTTATGTGGCGACACTGTCATCCATGCAAAACGTCTGGCAGCTGCTGAAAAAAATAAGAGAACACAAATGGAGGAAATCAAGAGGAGATTATGTTAACTTGACATAAGGGGACACAGGAACATTTAGAACAGCACAAATCCGGCTACAACTGCCGACCAAAGGAAGTATTTCAAATTTGTTTTGGTTTCCTTTTTTTTGGGGGGTGAAGGAGATTTCTAGACTTGTTGTATTCTCAAGCTTAAACTAATGTGCAAAATATTTGGAATATTAGGTAATGCCATTGATAAATGGGGTTATCCTTTGAAATGCCTACAACATTTTAGGGAAGTTAAGGATACAGGTGTAGGAAATGTTTTAAAAATATATGTGAGGCATTTTATACCCACAGCCATATGGCTAGAGGGGGTATATATCATTTGATACGGCCAAAACGTGGCTCATCGAAATAACGGTTTTAGACCCTAGGTCTCTTTGGACCAAATCCGTTTCAGGACATTTGGAGTCGATCGAGCGATGTTCGTATTCCGTCTGTCTGGTGCGCACTATAACTCTCGAATGTAGTATCCGATTTGAACCAAACTTGGTACATCGTAATATTATTTTCAAAATAAGATCGAGTTCGGAGATGGGTAATATCGGTCCACTCTTTCTAGTACCTCCCCCAAAAAATATCAACATTTTCAAAGAAATGAATTTACTGCACAGATAGAGAAAGGATAATCCGATTTTGCTCCAACTTTGCAAATCCTAATGCTTGCATCAGTGCTAGGTCAGGTGCGAAAATGGACAATATCGATCCACTCCATCAAGTACCTCTCCCACAAAGGGTCAAAATTTTTGAATAATTTTAACTCTTATAAAATGTGATACAAGTGTCCGATTATCTTCAAATTTCACACATCCTAATATTTTTATTAGCTCAACGTCTGGTGTGAAGATGGGATATATCGGTCCACTCCTTCTGGTACCTCTCCCACAAAAGCTCAAAATTTTGAATATTCACGAAGCTCATAAAACAGTAAATTAACCTCCGATTCCATTCAGACTTGGTACATCGCAATATTTCCATCAACACAAGACCTGTTATAAAGATGCTAGAGATCGGATCATTCCTTCCGGTACCTCCCACACAAAGGGTCGAAGTTTTGAATAACCAAAACGATCATAAAATCTAAAATAAGCATCCGGTTCTCTTTATGTTACACACATCATATTATTTTTATTAACCCAATGTCTGGTGTGAAATTGGAATATATCGGACCACTCCATCAAGTACCTCCTCACACAAAAGCTCAAAATTTTGAATATTCATGAAGCTCATAAAACACGAAAGTAGCCTCCGATTCCATTCAGACTTGGTACATCGCAATATATCCATCAACACAAAACCTGTTATAAAGATGGTAGAGATCGGATCGTTCCTTCTGGTACCTTCCCCACAAAGGGTCGAAGTTTTGAATAACCAAAATGAGCATAGAATCCGAAATACACATCCGGACCTCTTCAAATTACACACATCACAATATTTTTATTAACCCAAGGTCTGGTGTGAAAATGAAGTATATCGGTCCACTTCTTCTGGTACCTCCTCCACAAAGGTTCAACATTTTGAATATCCATGAAGTTCATACAACACGAAATTAACATCCGATTCCATTCAGACTTGATAAATCTCAATATTTCCATCAACAGAAGACCTGTTATAAAGATGGCAGATATCGGATCATTCCTTCTGGTACCTTCCCCACAAAGGGTCAAAATTTCGAATATATATGAAGCTCATAAAACGCGAAATTAACCTCCGAATCCATTCAGACTTGGCACATCTCAATATTTCCTTCAGCACAAGATCTGTTATAAAGATGGTAGAGATCGGACAATTCCTTCTGGTACCTCCCACACAAAGGGTCAAAGTTTCGAATAACCAAAACGGTTATAAAATCCAAAACAAGCATCTGATTCTCTTCATATCTTACACATCCTATTATTTCTTCTTATTTCAAGATCTACTGTACAGATGGGGTATATCGGTCCACTTGTTCTGGTACCTTCCCCACAGAAGCTCAAAATTTTGAATATTCATCATAAAACACGAAATTAACATCCGATTCCTTTCAGACTTGGCACATCTCAATATTTCCATCAACACAAGATCTGTTGTAATGATGGTAGAGATTGGGCCATTCGTTCTGGTACCTCCCCCACATAGGGTTTAAGATTTTGAAAAACAAAACCCTCAAAAAAAGCGAAACAAGCATCCAAATACATCCATCCATCTCCTCAAATTTCCCATACACAAACATTTTTGCGAACACAAGATCTGTACCTCACCCACAAAGGGTCCAATAATTATATCTGTCATAACTTGCGGAACAAGTCGGCGATTCTTTACAACTTGCTATGCCTAAATATTTCTCTTAACCAGAAATAGGATATGAATATGTAATTTATCGGAATTTATAATTTCGCATAAAATTGGATATAAATGTTCGATTTCCTTAAAATTTTGCATATAACAATATTTTTATCTGTATTAGATGAAGTATGAAAATCGAATACTTCGGTCCACTACAACTGTTACCTCACGCATATTTCCACATTTTACAAAAATTTGCACATATCTCATATAAAGTATGGGAAGTTGTCGATATAGTCCAAATCTGGCACGTTGTAATATTTATAACAGTCTTAGGTCAGATACAAATTAGTCAATATCGGGCAACTGCTTCGAAAGCTTCCCCATAAAGAGTCAGCAGTTTGAATAATCATAAGTCAAGGCTGGGGGCATACATCTGTCGACAAAACCAACAACTCTATACTTCTCTTCAATATATTCTCAATATTTCTCTCCTCTCCTCCTCTTCATCAAATCGATAATCAACAAATTCCAATGACAAGATGACAATACCTGGAAAATGTAAATTAGTTTTGCCAAATGTTTTTTCTTCGGATTTCTTATTCACACCTAGGTGTCTTCAATGTTGGCTAATTTTTTTTGTTGTTCTTCGTTTTCTTGGCACCTCAACTTTTGGCAAAATTATTCATGTTTTTTTTTTCTTTTCTTTTTTTCACTTTCTCCAAATCCCACTTTTCTTTTCAATGTTTTCTAACCAAATTTTCTAAATGAAGGACATGTGCTAATAGATAAGAAAACTTGAGGAATTACCACAAAGGTGCAAATTTTTCGAGAAAAAAAATCTCTATCTCTCTTCGAACACAAGGTTGGAGAAGATTAATGTCAATGGGAGGGGCATCCGTGCCCAGAAAATTCGTGTGAAATGCTGTATCATCATTCTCGTCGTCATCATCAGATTTGAAAGCCATGGCTTATTGTATTATCATGAATTTTTGGAATTAGTGTGAATGAAGGGCAGGTGAGAGAGAAATCCTTGAAGGAGAAATTTAACTCAGACTTTTTTTTGGAGAAAGAGGAGAATCTATTTTTTATGATTTTTTTTTTTTTCAATAATCTGAAAAAAATGTTTCGATTATTTTTAAATTCTGTTGGAAATAAAATCCATATTTAAATATCTTGGGGAATTTTTGAGTGAAATAAAATTTGAATTATATCATGATCTATCAATAATATCATTGTTATGAAAATGCCTGCAATTGTGAATTATGTCCGATGACATAAAATATAGGCTACGCTTGCGAGTTATAATACGAAATATTTGAATCAAACCGATATGAAATAATCGGATCACCCTCAAATTTATTTATTATTTCTGAAATTTTTATTCCCTCAGCCGTATGGCTATAGAGGGTACATAGCATTTGATACGGTCAAAACGGTTTTGACCCTAGGTCTCTTTGGACCAAATCCGTTTCGGGACATTTGGAGTCGATCTAGCGATGTCCTTCCGTCCGTCCGTCTGTCTGGCTGGTGCGAACGATAACTCTCAAAGGGAGTATCCGATTTGACCCATACTTGATACATCGTAATATTATTGTCAAACTTAGATCGAGTTCGGATGTGGACAATATTGGTCCACTTCTTCTCCCACAAAAGGTCGACATTTTCCAAAAAATATTTTACTGCATATAAAGAGAAAGGATAATCCGATTCTGCTCCAACTTTGCATATCTTAATATTTGCAACAGTGCTAGGTCAGGTGGGAAAATGGACAATATCGGTCCATACAATCAGGTACCTCCCCACAAAAGGGTCAAAGTTTTTAATAGCCAAAACGATAATAAAATCCGAAATAAGCATCCGATTCTCTTCATATTTCACACATCCAATTATTTCTACACAAGATCTGCTGTGAAGATGGGATATATCGGTCGACTGCCCCACAGAGGTCACAAAGGGTCAACATTTTGAATATCCGATTCCATTCAGATTTGGTACATCTCAATATTTCCATCAACAAAAAATCTGTTATAAAGATGGTAGACATCGTTCCATATCTTCTGGTACGTCCACCACTAAGGTTTATTTCGTGTAAATCTCATCGAGGAATAAGACAGTTCCTAGCTTTCATGCCTTCCCTCCTGATTTTGTATAAAAATTTAACCCTACCTGTTGAATATCCCTAGTAAAATACATTTTACCAGAATCCCCTTCCCGCCATCCACCCTAACGTCCGTATGAATATGAACATAAAAGTAAGCACTTAGAGACACATAAATGTTTATGACACCAGCTATTGCGATAATTCTTCGGCTGTCATGTCTCGGCTCGGCCCAGCATTCAACTTGGCTACATGAAAATTGTATTGCAGTGGATTTATGGCCATATGGAACATAAAAACGCACTGATATGCAAAAAAAAAAAAACAAAAAAAAGACCAACCAAAGGCAAGAAAAGCAACAACAGCAACAAAAAATCCCATATTTCTATGGACGTTCGTACACAACACATTTATAGGACATTTACAAGACTATTTTTCTCACACCTGTATATATTGATATATATGTGTGTGTTGGTGCATAACCATGGGGGGCTTACGAAAATATTTTAATATTCATTTTGTAAACATAACCTTAAATGTTGTTTGGTTTATTTTATTTCTTTATAAATATTTCATATTTGAATAT